ATCAGTTGGCAACAGTGCAACTGAATACTTTTTGGTCACTCAATCAGTCAAATGCTGCTGGACTTGAAGATGTTTCACAATTCATCCAAGAAGCTCCATTAGTTCTACTGACTAATTGTGAATCTTATGGAGGAGAAAACACCTGAGCCTCCCCACCAGTCAGTAGAACAGATGAAGTTGGTTAAATGACAGATCTCCCACAATTCCAGTTGCCTCTGACTGAGTACTTCTAGATATCTTATGTGCTGGATGGATGAATGTTCATGGACAAGTCAACAAATTCCTTTTAAAACTGTGCTTGACAAGTCTATGATATGGTTTGATAAAAATCTACATCTGATGACAAACCTTTGAGCCATACTGATTGAGACTCTCGAAGCTGACCCTCTTTGCAAGGGATATACAGGCAATACGCCGAGGCTGAGTGCAGGCTATGTTGTTGAAGCCAGATGACAGAAGATACTGAGGCACTTGGGTGGATTTTCCACAGCCTGTGTCCCCTGCCACCACGACCACAGGGTGACTTCGCACCAGCTCCACTATCCTGTCCCGGTACTGGAAGATGGGCAGGTTCTTTTGCTCCCGGCGAAGCTTGGCCAGCTTTCCAAAGCTCTGTCTCTGGCTGAAGTCCAGGAAGTGCAGGAGAGCCAGACGGCAGTCTGAGATCTCCTGATTGCCTGGCCCTGAGGATCTCTGCCTGCTTCTGTGATCTGACTTTCCCAGGCGCTCCTCGACGTCCCTGGTGCACACAGATACATTAATCCGGTAGCGAGCATCATACTCTTTAGGAAGGCCAAGATCTACTTTTCCAGTCTTTGCTCTGTCCTTCCCTTCTTCTTTGTCCTCTTTTCGTCTGTCTCCCCCTGACCCAGACATGTCCCTCTTTGTTTTAAACCTCTGGAAGCGTTCAAAGAAAGCCCAGAACTCTTTGTGCTCCGGGCTGCCCACCTGTATGTAGTCATGCTGGCGGAAAAAGATCTCGTCCATGTGAGCACGGCACTGCGGGCTGTCCCAGTCCCAGCTCCGGTCCCCTCTCCTCCTGTCTGAATCCATATTTACTGGAAGTTAATCGCTTCCTTTGACACCAAACAGGATTCAGGTTTACTCGCTGCTAACGGTTGGAACCATCATGTTTACGGCTTTAGAAACCGGCAGCAGCTTCATTAACCTGATTGATACCTCTGAATAAGACAAACTACAGACCTCCATTCATACCGGAGCGTGATGTTTTGTATTCATATGTCTGAGACAGGCCGAGGACAAGTCCTTAACATTGTTCCAGGCGGTAACAGCTGAGGTCACTGGACAATAACATGTTAAAACTGTTGGAAAAGACAAATACAGCTCCAACTGCTGCGGAGACCAGGGGAACAATAATACAGTGGGACCGTTCCCGGTCCGTTCTTTGAAATCTTCCGAGTAGAATCATATTTATTCCGAGGTGAATCTCTCAAATTCAAATTTAAAGAGACTTTATTGACATGACCGTTGTCAAATACCACACTCTCGAAGCACACTGCACAATACAAGGCAGTATCAATACGGAAAATTACATTTAAAGATATGAACAACAAAACATATTAATGCTACAGTTCAACAATATTTTACAAAAAGGAAGGAAGTTAAACACAACTGCAGGCGTAACGCTGTGAGAGAAGAAAATAAAAAATTAAAAGTTAATATAATACAGACCATGGTTGTGGATTATCATGTTCGAGGTAATAAAGTTAACCTACAAATGGTATGAGAGGAAAGCAGCTCTCGCTCTCAACCTAACCAGACACTGAGCGTTACAAACATCACTAGCCAATCAGAAGCAGAGCGGGGCGGGTCTTGGCAAGTTGGCGACACTGGCAGTGTAGGATTCAGCGGCTTGAAGGAGCCGGGCGCTTGATTCTGCAAGGTGTGATCGATGAAGTTACTATCTGACACCAGCGGCAAAAAAGTGCTCTCTCGTCATGAATTGGACCCCGGTCTTAAAGCTGCTCCCGCACACTGTGATCAAAAAATACGTGTGTGCACGTCCATTGCTGAAAATGATCTGTCCCTCATAATTTATTTGTTTACAACCCAAAAAGAATGAAGAAATAAGTGATAGTGGCCTCCTTGATTTCACCTCAGTTTACCAGTTCTTTGAGCACTTCATTGTTACTGTATTTTTTTGTCTTCAATATTTAATTATTTTTAATTAATTATTCCCCATTATTATCTGTTTTTTAGAAAGAAACACTTAAACGTTGCTGTAGTATTGTTTACAGTTGAAAAATGGTGCAAATGTGCAAATCCTTTTTCCCGAAATTTTTCAAAGTTGCTCGCATTTTAGAACTGTTGCATTTTAAATAAATGGTGCACATGCTGTTAAAAGGAAGTGAAAGCAGCCACCACAACCACCCACCCCCAATATATCTGAGAGCAGCAGGTGGAGCAATGGGACGCTTCAATAATACCAATCACAGCAGCTCCTCTAATCAATAACAGACAGGTTAATGAGCCAAGACTTGAGTAGGAAACTTTCCTCTAAAAGTTAAATATTAGCGGATCTCCGCCCACATATGAATGAGCTGTCAGGACTAACCTACCAACTACACAACTAACCAACTATTCCTGTGGTCAATACAGTACCAAACAATACAGTACCATCAACACTGCACTGACACTGAGGCACGTGCAATGGGCCAACAACATACAATTGCAGGGGCAATTTTCATCTTTGAAGAAAATAAAATCAAAATATGACTGACATTGTCTGACCAAATTGTTTTTTATCAGAACCTTTTCAGTGGTTATATTTAATTTCCTGCACAAGTTCCAGAATGTGAAACTGTTACTGTCAAAACATTTGTCTGCCTTTCTAAAAGCAACAAGACTTGAGTTTAATACTTGTTTGTATCTTAACATCAGCTCCTGATAAACATCTACAAACGACAACAGTTTGACTTCTACTGAGCGTTTTTTCTGGTAAGTGCCTTTGACCCTGTACTCTCATGTTTTTTCTGAAAAAGGTTAAACTGACGACCATGGGCGATGTTAGGTTAAGTAAGATAACACTAGCTATGCCTACTATTCTACTTTGGCCTCATCTATTTTGGTTAAAACTAGTCAATCCTCTAACCTAGCATTACAGAATAAGAGGGGTTCAAATTAGCATAAAGCGACCACAATGTAAACACGTCTCCAGTGATTCTACAGCTGAAATTCCCCGGTCATAGATTTGGTGAAACACCTGACTACACAGATGAACGTTAACGTGACCCCGGTGTGGAGTCCAATGTTGACCAGATGAACTTGACTGAAGAATATGGAGAATAGAAAATGGCAAGGACCTCATTGTATTAATATATATTTTTTAACATTCAATAATATTTTCCCATGCAAGTTGTAGAGTGTATTTACTTTCAAATGTTTACCTGACTTCAACACAAGTCTGTTATGTTTTAAATAGCTAGCAAACTTATGTTAGCTCGGTAGCTAGTCACAGCTAAAGTTATCATTTAGCTAACTGACAGGTGTCATTAACCTGAACAACCTTTTATACGTGAAAAACAATTTAGGCCGAGTGTGTAGAGTTTTATTTTTGTATAGCAGCCTGGAGACGCCTCATGTTTTTCTTTAACAGGCTAACATAGCAAAGGCTAACATTACCAGCTAGTTTACAGCAGTGGTAAAACCGCCTAATATGCTTTAAGTAGCTCTTTCAGCTACAAAACTCGGGACTAACGTGTAACCTAACGTTAGCGTCGGCCGAGCTAATAACGTGTTTCCCTGTGAAAACGACAATAAATGTCACTGGAAAATAATGGAACAAGTACTTTTTACTCCACTTTATTTATTCGAGAGCTAGTTGTAGCTACTAAAAATCTACAATGCTTTTATAAAACATGATGGATGCACTGCCACTGATTATACAAGACACGAAATAGTTAGTTAGTTCCACCTTCGCAGGTAAACCGTAACATGATACTTACTCATTAATGCGTGCTTAAATATCTAATATTTCTGCTTATAATCTTTATGTACTTTTACTCTGACATGTTCAATGCAGTTAAAATCATTTTTATATTGCAGCTTTGTTACTTTTATTCAAGCTATGGATCTGATTACTTACTATGTCAGTAAATAAATACATTAATAAAATAATATAAATACACCCAGATACACCCATCATGCAGACTGTTATTTGACCCAATATTATGTAAAATTTAGGCCAGTATAATGGAAGAAACCTGTGGTTCCCATAGGTTCCCATATTTCCCACATTTTCGAGACAAAACAGCAACATTATCTTTGCAGGAAAACATCCCAGTTACTTAACAATAATCCACCACTTGTCTCTTAATACTGTATGTTATTTTATCTTTGCCCTTTTCTTTTTGTCCTCCCTCCAGACTGTCTGCTTGAACCTCATCATGGCTCCCCATGAGGGAGAGAGGGGTAGGCAGCGGGAGGTGACATTCCCTTTACAAGAGGAAATGGAAGTTTGCATCCACATGGAGGGAGAGCAGCTACCCTACCCGGACCTGGCCCCAGTGGTGGCCTTCTGCCTGAAACAAACCACAAGACCCAGGAAGTGGTGTCTGAAAATGACTTACAGCCCATATCCTTTCTTACTGCTGTGAGTCTAACCTTGTCTAACACCTGTTAAAATTAAATATGTGTAATAATAATAGCATTATCTCTAAACTAGGTATCATACCACAGTGTATATTTCTCAGTGTATCCTTTAGGATTAAAACACAAAGACTTTCCCCCCATGAATTTTAAATGTGTCTTTTTCTCATCAATGTGGCTGTCGCATATTAAAATATCATAATTTTGTATTAATTTGGCTATTATTAGTCCCATTAGCTGCTTATACTGTGTAATCCACTATTTTCTCCTGATGTATTACATGATTGAATCAATATGCTGTCATCCTGTGACCTTTGACCTTAACCACTTCCTCCACATGGCTGGATTATGCGTCCATACTGGTCCTCCTGCTCAACTGTGTGTTTCTGGGCATGTACAACCCCTGCGAGGAGAGGGGCTTCAACATGCATGTCAGTGTGAGCCCCCACTCTCTTGTAAGTGACACTGGCTGTGACATGTACAGTTACTGTGTCATGAAGACCTAGTTTGAACAACAGTTTCATTTCTCGTCCAACACAGTGTAATTGTTTACATCAGTGTCTGTTATTGAGGTGTGGCTGGAAAACCTTTGCTGGAATGTGAATCTCTCATTGGATATGTGGTGTAGACTACTGTTGTATGTTTTAACAGATTGTATTTTTAATGTGAAGACTAGACTTAAAGTTCAGGCTTGGCTGGCTTGGTTGCATGTAAAATCCTTGTTTTATATCAGGGAATATTTTCATATTCTGTTTTCAGATTATAACGTGTGGATTTAACTCTAACTTGCCTCGTGTTTCAGTGCAATCTTAATTCTTGGCTCCAGAACATGGTCATTCAAAATTCAAAATGTCCATCTGTATTGATGAGTAAACACAACCTTTCCCACTAAAAGCGTGTTAGAATCAGTATATTTGTCTGTGCTGTATATTTAACTATACATCTTTTTATCATTTGTCACCAGGTACTACTGGATCTTTTCAGTTTTGTCTACTTCTCAATGGAACTGGTCATCAAGGTGGCAGCCCTGGGACTCTCTGGCTACAACGGAAGTTACCTTAGCAACAACTGGAACAAGTTTGATGTCTTCATCTACTTTGGAGAGTGAGTATCCCACAAATCTCTTGTCTCTGCTTTGGCTTTTGTCTGCAGGTAGACAACAGCAGTCACCTTAGGAATACATCATATTTATATCTCAGTGTGTCACAGCAGGTCCCACCTTTGTCTCCAAGTGTTTTACTATATTTTAGAGTAAGCATCCTACACAAAAAGGTTTTTAAACCACAAGACACATGCTGGTTTTTATGACTTCATATTCACGATTAAAATGTGTGTATATTTTTTATTTTGATAATTTAAAGAACACAAAGTAAAACTTTTCCTCTTTTCTGTCTGCAACTATCCCTCCAGGGTGCTGGATTATCTTCTGGTTTCCCAAGGTATCAAGATACAGGTCCGTCATGCGCTCAGGCTGATGCGACTCGTAGGCAGAGTCCCAAGTAAGTGGTGTTTGATGAGAACACAATTTTCATTCTCCTCAGCGGTCCTCAAAACGTGTTGCCCATGGTTTTCATTCCTGCCGTCCGACCTGTGCAGTGGCTGAGAGATAATTTAAAATGGGCTAGGGTTAAATGCTCAAATGTTTTTAGTTTTAAGTTATTTTTCCAATAAATTTATGAGCATTTTATTCTTGATTCATTATATAAAGTATCACCGACTATAGTGCTTCAACATTAATCAGCACTGCTTCTACTACCACTGGCTTAGTTACAATAAATGACAAAATAATACTAATAAAACAATATCAAACTTTCAATCTGTTTCCTCGCTTGAGATGCTGATGGTGCAGCGTCAACAGCACTACACCTATGTTTAAACCTAATGTAATTACATGTCCACTATCTCCATGATATAAATGAACTGGATGTGGATATCATGTGTACAAACTTTATATAGGGACTGCATGACACAAGCTTTACTGATGACTGGGTCTTCAAGAAGTTGCTCTTAATCACCATAAATTAGTTTTAAATGCAGACAAATCTCAATTTAAGCTTTTCTCCAGAGCCAGAAATATTGATTCAGATAATCTCATCATCACCACTAAAAGTGGCGCCATTATTGAAAGAGTCATGCTGTACAAATATCTTGGCATTTGGATTGATGAGAAGTTATCCTTTAAGAATCATGTATCAAATCTGGTGAGTAAATTCAGGCAAAGATTGGCTTCCTGCTTCCTGTTGCATTGCAGAAAAACCTGTTGTTGAGGCAACTTTTTTTAATCAGTTTTAATACAGGCTTTGGCTGGTACTTTAAAGCTCCTTGATGCAGTCTACCACTCTGCTCACAGGTCTTCTCTCTCTGAGAGGCCAGATTTGCATGTGTATTTGTTTATTTACGAAGCTCTTCTTGAAAAACTGCCTTCATATCTATCTAACATCCATGTTAGTTTGGTCCACTGGACCACATTGGACCAGGACTAATGACTAGCTTATGCTCCATGTCCCTTGAGTTCATACTGAGCTTGGAAGATCTGCTTTTGGCTTCTTTGCACCTTCCACCTGAACTGTCTAACAAAGCACTTTAAAAACAAAGCCGTTGGTACCTCTTGATCATTTTAGATTCTTAATCTCTAACCTTTTAATTTCAGTTTGTACCTGTTTTAATTGATTTTTGTGATGGCATTATTTGTGAATTGTATTTATATGTTTGTTTTAATTGATGTTTTTTTTAACTGATATATATCTCAATATATATACAGTATATATATACTGTATATATATATTTATACAGTACATATTCTGACAATATGTCAGAATAATCACCTCTGATGGAGTCGTCTCCCTGTCCTGTGCAGGTATGCAAGATATGGTGATGATACTCTTGGACACCGTGCCGATGCTTGTGAACGTTCTCGTCCTGTACATCTTTGTCATGTTCATCTTTGCCATTGTGGGAGTTCAGCTGTGGGCGGGGAAACTGCGCAACCGCTGCTTCCTTGGAGTCGACATCCCAGAGTAAGAAAACTGCAGTTTTCTTTACTGCTATTAATTGCATTTGTGTATGTTGTGACTGACTTCTTCAAGACCTCAGAGCCAATTATAGGAACATATTTAACACAATAATGTGATGTTAGTCAGATACCTTTCTGCTTTTAATGTGTAAAGAATGCTGAGCAAGACACTAACTCACATTTCTGTGGATAAGAGCATCAATTAAATGCTGAAAATACCATGTAGTATAAGGCAGTTGTAGGATATCAGTTAATATATTAAAACTACAAGCAAATACTACATCTTGTTTTAGAGCACTGACATGATTAAAATTCACGCGATAAGTTTGTTTGGTGTTATGTCGGTGGTGTTATTTCTGGTGATGATGACAACAGGAGTTGTTGATATGTTGGAGATATCAAAGGGGGTCATATAAAATGGATGGGACGTCCGACCCAGGGCAGGGGGACTAGTATTAAAAACAGAGGTAATTGGAGGACAGCAGGAGTAATGACTGTGTGGTCCAGAGTTGTTGTGGAATGGATTAGTGTCACTAATACGATCCACTGTTTGTAATTTGGCTCAGTACAAAAAGACACTGTAACAGGCTCATGTGAAGTGTGAAGGCTACGTAATGACGTCTTCAGTGCAGCTGTGTGTATAAGCTGTTATTCTTTCTCTGTCCAGAAACTCCAGCGGGTCGTTAAATCCATACTATGTGTCCAAGTATGTGAAGGGAGCCCGTTCATTTGTTCGTATGACCACAGCAACGGGATGCGCCGCTGCCATGACGTGCCGCCTTAACATCCGGGATGAGGAAACCTGTTCGTTGGTTGTTCCCAACCACAGTTCAGCTGCAAACAAGTTCTTAGTCCCTGGGGCCGCGGCTAACGCCTGTGTGAACTGGAACTCATACTATAACATCTGTCGCGCCGGGGACCACAACCCCAACATGGGAGTCACCACGTTTCGATAACATCGGCCACGCCTTGATCGTCTTATTCCAGGTAAGAGCATGTGCAGAAATAGATGTGGATGTTGGATTTAAAATTGAAGCTGTACTTTGACAGTTTATGTCAGTGACGGGGGTAACAGTCAGTGATGGGGGTAACAGTCAGTAATGGGGGTAACAGTCAGTAATGAGGGTAACAGTCAGTTATGGGGTTTAACAGTCAGTATGGGGTAACAGTCAGTGATGGGGTAACAGTCAGTGGATGGGGTAACAGCCAGTAATGGGGTAACAGTAGTAATGGGGTAACAGTCGTAATGGGGGTAACAGTCAGTGATGGGGGTAACAGTCAGTTAATGAGGGTAACAGTCAGTGATGGGGTAACAGTCAGTATGGGGTAACAGTCAGTGATGGGGTAACAGTCAGTGATGGGGATAACAGTCAGTTATGGGGGTAACAGTCAGTAATGGGGTAAACAGTCAGTTATGGGGGTAACAGTCAGTGATGGGGTAACAGTCAGTTAATGGGGTACAGTCAGTGATCGGGGGTAACAGTCAGTTATGGGGTAACAGTCAGTGATGGGGGTAACAGTCAGTGATGGGGTAACAGTCAGTGATGGGGGTAACAGTTTGAATTAGAGAAGGCAGGCATCATGTGAGGATGTGGTCCTCTGTCATCTTCTATCATCTCTGTCTGCGTTATCATCATAGGTGAGTCTATCTTTCCTCTGGCTGGAGAACCCGTCATCACTCTTTAGGACATACTGCAGTATTGAAGTTTTTATTCACTGTTTAGTTGTTGACCATGTCACGTTCTGCCTCCCTCCTCCTGCAGGTTGTCACACTGGAAGGTTGGACAGACATCTTGTTTTTTGTCATGGATGCTCATTTCCTTCTGGAGCTTCATCTTCTTCATGTCGTCACCATTGTAAGTAGCAACTTGTCTTAGTTTTTGTTGGTGAACAACATTAGTGTTTAACCATGTTCCAAGTCTCCAACCACAACCTGACAACAATGAAACTAAAGTGTTCACAATGATCCTGCCATGCTACAGATTTTTTTTTAAATAACTCAGCTTTTTTGGATTAGAAAAAAATGTCTCTTAAGTGTAGATTCAAATGTTATGCTGTGCTCAGTAACAAACAGGAGTAGTTTATTGCAAATATATACAATATGAAACCTGCCAGGTAGTCGTGGTTACATAAAAAAACATACTGAGAACTAAAGCCCTAATTAAAATATTGTAAATGACGTATAAAAACGTATTGTGTTGCTCTTATTGTTATTGTTTGAGCTGCAGTTTCTACTAAAACCTTTATTTAAAGCTCTAAGTGTGGTGTGAGCTACGTTTATCGTGTCTTTTGATGCGTTGGAGAGAGTTAGAAAAATGCATGAGAGAGGGCATGAAAAGAGAAGAAGAATAGGAAACAGGAGAAAATGATAGTTTTGATTGAAGGAACACAAACAACAAGAAAAACAAACTTTCAGAAAGACTTACTCCAAGAAATCAGCCACTAAATCAAACAGTTCCAAACTTTTTTTATCTCCCTGTCATCATTTTTCTGTTGAGGCTGGTCATATTCACTATGTGCTCATGTTGCTGGTGCAGTGTCCCTAAAGATGTTTTCCTTCTCAACCAGATGAGCTCCTTCATCATTATGAACGTGTGCGCGATCGTCATCGCCACAGCAGTTCTCTGAGAGCATGACGACGGCAGAAGAGAGAGCAGCGAGCCAACCTGTCGTGCAGCTGTGTCTCCAGTTCCTCCGCTGGCTGTGGACCATCGCCTGCAGCTGCATCAGGTCAGATAGTATAAAGGTTGTATCTGCAACTAAGACAAGTGCAGGTCAGATTTGTAGTCTGCAGTGATATCTGGTGGTATAATTTTATACCCTAACCCTCAAGCAGAATATGTGCAGTTCTTTAGGATGAAAGTAGACGTAAATGTTTTCCTCTGGTGTCGGTTTAACAGTGCTTCTAGTTTCAGGCAGAGAAATGAGCATTAACCCAAGTTTAAATCAAAACATGCCTTTAGATTGTCTCTGATCCTATGGGGACTGTTGTCAATAAATAACGTCTGTTTTCAACCGACAGACGTCGTAACAGGGTGCAGCCCGTATGCAGCAGGAGTGAGACCGGTGGCATACTGGTGAGACTAGTCAACAGCTTTCTTTTTTGTTTTGGCAGAAACCACCATCAGCACAGCAGCAGCAGCAGCAGCGCCTTTGACTCCACTAACTGACTCTCCCCTTCTTCCAGAAACATACCTGGGAGCCATTGAGGAGAAAACTCTGAGGTTGATCAACAGCAAACTCTTTGACCGGGTGATCATGTTAGCCGTCTTCTTCAGTATTCTCGCCATGGCCATAGAACACCATGGGCAGGTGAGGAGCAAGTGCTGCTGTCTCATTCACGACGTAAAGGGAATAGTAAACTGAGAGTTCACTATCTGTTTTCTGTTTTTTCCTCTTGCTTATTTGTTATTGATTGTTATGTTCTCATCGCCCTCCTCTTCCCTCTCTGCATTTCCACGTTCTCATGCGACCTGTTGCTCCCTCTCTCTCTTGCTCTCCTCTCTCTCTCTTCCTCCAGCCTAAGCAGGTGGCAGAGATGCTGCGGATCAGTACAATCTTCACTCTCGTGTTTGTTGTGGAGCAGCTGATCGTAAAGCTGCTTGCCCTCAAGTGGGCCTACTTCAAGGACCAAACACACATTTTTGATTTGCCATCGTTGTCATCAGGTAGTATGATCCTAAATGAAACCCATGGAATACAATATTTATAGAGCATATTAAATGTGTTTGTTTCTTTGGGTTTCAGCTTGTGGAGACCATTTGCCAAAGCTGATGGCAGGTTGTCCGTCCTGCGTGCGTTTCGTATGCTGCGGTTTGTGCGGCTGCTTCACTT